ACCCCGGCGTGTCTCTGGCGTCCATGTAGGACCCCCCCTTGCTAAAGACCACCATGCTGTCCCTTTTGCACATCTTGGGACACTGGTGCGAAGCTAAAACAAAAAGGGGTTAATCAAACATGGTCTAGTGGCCGACTAACCTCTCACTTATTAGACTTCGGCCAAGCTTCCTGATTAGTCACTGGATAGCGGTGTCGGGGTCGAAATCTCTGGCGTAGCCGTAAGTGCTTCGCGCTGCCATACGACGGTTCAGCACTCGATGTCTGGAAGTATGGTCCCGATTATTTCCCAATCAAAAAATGAATTAAAAAGTTTATTCACAGGAATCGGGTTTCCTTGATCTCGTTTAAATAATTAGTTGCGCATGCGCATGGAAATTTGGTCTATAATCAAAAACGTACAAACTATGGACATTTATCTACATTACGTTAATAAACTTAACCTTCAGAACCTTTCTGTGTTTGACTATACAATGTTTTATTTACCCAAAGCTATCAAATTAGCCTTAAACTAATAACAAAAGTTTTACTTAAATAACAATAAAAATAATAGAAAACATAGTAAAGCTGAAAAGATTTTCACCTTTTTCTGAAAAAAAACTCTTTCTCTTTCGTTCTCTTCTTCATTATTTTAGACCGGCAATTCTTTAGGTTTTAATTAAGCAGTATTTTGGTCGTTTAAGTACAATCTTACTCATAATACGTAGCATAGACTGTAGCAATAGCGTAGAACGACTGTGTATCCAAAGTTTCTGACACAAACGTATCGTTTTCAGTATTCCACAAACATCGACTTGCAATCCTTAACCCTTGCCTAGACTTGGAACCAATCGACATCAGACACACAAGCTTATATCGCTCAATATTCAGCAGTCGAACTTCATCAAGGATTCTTTTACTCAGTAACTTGGAGACAAAGCTGGATTCCTTAGGGTCGTAGGTATGGCCGTTGAGCGTGGACAAAACATCCTTGATAATCTTACGGACTTTTATAACGGGGAACTTCACCTTCGGTTCGAGACGATAGGTATTCTCGTACTTGACGTTTCTTCTACGAGCATCAGAAGAAGCTGCTTCCTCGTTCATTCGGATTTTCTTGAGAGACGTTTGCATGTGTGAGCTGTGATGTGAAGCAATTGAGATACGGCGAGTAGCGGCGAGCGAGGTAGCTCCCCCGATGCTGACTTTCTTGACACTTTCATCGGACCGACTACTGAACGAAGATGTTCTACCACGATTAGCCGCGTGTCCAGTTTGCCGAGGAGTATCTTGATCCATGGTTAGAGTAAAGTTTCTTGAAGTAAAAGCGTATAAGCTTGCTTATAATAATGTAGTAATCAAACGGTGGTTGCTTGGCGACTTGGTGCAACACGATCGTTGAGAGCATCTTGAGTTACTTGAGGAAGGAAGTGAACTTTGCCATGAGTTTGCACGTCCTGCCATATCACTTACCGAATATATCAATATACAGCTATATAATGTCACACAAGTCTAAAGTCAGACAATGCTTTCGAATCATACATGAACATGGGTTGACATATACTCTAACTTATTCTTGCTTATTTTGCATTGACATGATAGCTTAGGTGATAGGTTTGATAGGTAGCAGCAGACAATGGTCGACAATGGCACAATCGACCGAGCTAAGAAGACACATGTCAGACACATGTTGCCAATACTTTAAGACTTCTGTGACATAAAACTCAGCCTTATATTTGCTAAAAAGAAAAAAGAAAAAGGAAAAGGAAAAGAAAAAAGCTGTTTTCTGAACGAACTAATTTGTAAAAGAACTGGCCTCTTGGTCAGATTTGAAACAAATCCAAAAACGGATTCAAAGATATGCCTTTTTGGGGTTTACATAAAATGCTTGCTGGTAATATAAGGCAAAAGTTGTAAAGAGTAAAGAATGTCTACAACTTCAACAATATAAACGCAGAAATTCCGCGGACCTACACTGGAACATGCTGCAACTTTACACGAACGTAACATCGATTAACTCCGAACAACAGAGGATTCGAAACTGGCACATTATCTTAACAAAAGACAATCATTGGCTAAATCTTTGACATCCCTAAAAGACGTTCTTGTACGTGATAAGTTCATAGGAAGACTAATTCTGGAACTCAAGAGACCTTTTTAGCTTTTTAGCATTAGTCTGTTCTGCACATAGTTCAGACCATGTGATGCCACTCTTGGGAGTTGAATCTTTCATGTGTAAATATTTTAACATGTTCGTCATAAAAGAATAATGCTCAATGGAATGTCATGTGATCTGAAATGGGCAATTAGCATACGAAGCTAAGAAGATCTATTTGAAGTTAGATACGAGATCAAAAAGTCTCGTCGTCCCCGTACGAGTCCCAAATTTAATCCCACAATTCCATGCAACACGAATTTTTAACGGCGGCTCTCGGTCTCTGATACAAGTGCCCACGTTCCTTTTGGTCTCCGGTTTGAGCGCCCACTCTTTTTACCCACGCGCGTAAGACTCTGGGTAAGACTATCTATATCATTAGTCTAAACCTACTAATGGTCTATCACAATCCTGCACTCTCATTGGCTGAACTATTACTCATTAGCCACTAGTCGCGTTGTCAACTTAGTTTACAAATTATTTTTATCCATTTATCTTTGAAAGATTAGAAAGCTTCATCAATGGTCATTACTACCAAAAGTAATTATTACTCATCAGTGGTCATTACTACTGGAAGTAATCGTTACTCATGGTAGATACCATAAACAGTACCAATGGCAAATACATCCTTACTTCCTTCATAAACAAACTGTGCATAATTATCAAACCTTGTATCCCAAACACAGCGACTAGCAACTCGAGCGCTTTGGCCACTCTTTTGCCCTAGAAATATGACTGTCACGCATTTGTAGCGTGAAAATTGCAAATTCTTTACTTTTTGCTGAATCATGTCGCATAGTTTCTTGGTCATGCGTGAGCACACTTCGGGGCTGTATGAAAGATCCTTTAACTCGCTGTTGAACGTTTCCTCAATGATCGTTTTCACTTTCCCTTCTCGGAATCTCTCTGTCGGCTCTAGACGATATGTGCTTTGGGGAGTCTGATTCTTGAAGGCAAGTGAATACGGTGTGATGACAGTCGATACGGTCGATCGTCGTGGCGAACTAGTGCTTTCGACTGGTAACGGTACTCTACGCGTTTCCGATGCAGCTACAGGCTCATCGACATGTGTAACTTGAAAATCTCCTTTATCAGCGTTCCGTCGGCGCTGCACAACAAGACTGGTCGACAAAGCTTTGAATTTCAAAGCCGCAGAACGAGCAAGAACCACTTGGTGAATTCTGTTACCGCCCATATTGGGATGCTTTTTCGACATGGTGGTAAAACGTGACTTTCAGCCGCGAAGAAATCTTTTCTCTTGTCAACAAGATATTCTTAAATTTTCACTCAATCCGCTCTTTGTCCTTCGCTTGAAGTCTTCTAGATTCGCTGCCAATTGTATTAAACCTTGGCCTTCGATATTCAATTCTAAAAAGAGTAGATTTAAACCCAAAGAAGATTTTCTAAAAGAAGATGAATGAGAGTATCCATTATACGTCCTCGCTTATCAAGTGTATGTTAGTTTTGTGTTTACGGTTTACTGTGTCTCCGAGATACGATGAAAAACCTACATTTACATTACAAAACCGCATAAAAGCCGTCAAGAGCTCAGAAAGCTGTCTAGTTTTAGCCATTTACTGTCGGCTGATAGACAGACGTTTATTTTACTGAATCAACAAAGAGTTTAATGTCGCTCAAACTGGCGTGGAGAATAGCAGATTTTGTGTGAAGATCCGATCAGAGTTGGATTAAAAGCTCAACGTTAAGTGATCTGAGTGTTAGAAGATACCGATTGTTGTCGTCTATTAAAAATTCAAATTTATAAATTCGTCTAATTTAGAGATTTTCATGTCAGCTTCAATTTAGTTTTGAAAACATTGGTGAATGAATCTTACTCGTTGCCAAGGGTTACAACAAAAGCTTTTATGCCAACCAAATATTGTAGAGGGTATTTTCTTACTTATCTCAACTGTTCAAAGACATTTTTATGATGTTTTTTTGTGGTTTTGTTGAGAGTCTTCGCCTCCTATGCCGAATTTTAATGAAAAAATTCAGATCAAAATTTTTGGCCAGTAATTTTGAAAAGAAATGTAATAATCAAATCATTTGTGATCCCATCGTTAAATCTCTCGACTTTATTTGATCGCCAAATTACAAGATGAACGCTGTGTTATTAAACCTCGTTAATTCTGATTTGGTTTTGTGTGTACATTGTGATCTTTATCATGATGGCCGCATTCGATTATGTGACTGATCTTGTCCGGTGGGGGAATACCGTTGGTCAATTCTTACGTCACCATCAGTGGAAATCGATCAGAAAACTTAGAATAAAAGAGCAGTTATTTTAAAAAAAAAAAAGGATATAACTGTTGAAAAATACAATGACGTCACGACTAAAATAGAATACCGTAGTCGCAGCCAGAGCGTCAACTGCACTTTGTTTGATGCATGATGGTGAGTTAGTGATATTTCCTCAAGTACTGATAATCATAAATGTATCAATCCTTTTTAAAGATATCTTCTATCGAGATTTCATAATCATCTTTTCGTAAATAGCGACAGTTTTCCAAGTTTTTCCATTCAATGGCGGCTTGGTTTCCCTCGTTTTGAATTTTTCGCTCTTCTTTCAGCGGTGGGAGGGATGAGACCTTAGATGTTCTGAAATCAAGAGATGACATGCTTGTTGTAGTTAGGGCCCAGATGGCATGTTTGACTAACAGGTCATGTGATTGTACCCCAAACTACTCCCCCCCCCCCNCCCACCCACCCCATATATCCACTGCCTTTATACGTGGTATCCCCTGCCCCCAAAACAGTTCCCTCTTTTCTTTTTCCCCGTTGTCCCTATTGTCATATATCCTTCCTTTTATGCATGGAGAAGACACCGACCGTTCCTCAAAATATTCAGAAAGTAGCATCATCGCTGTGGATTCCTCAGAAATTCAATGTACTACCCCACTGTCATCACGATCACACATCAATATTCAAAGACAAGGAGCTAGTTTTCAAAGTTTGTAATTTATGATATGATTTGCACGGAAAAGTTGTTTGGCGCCCCTTTCTTCGGGCTAGCCCAAGTAGCTGCCCCGTAGCTATCCCTTACGTGTATCAAACTACGTTGTCTACCAGATTTCTTTTCCCAAACGATAAAGTTTCAATGGTTTAGCGCAACTAACTTGGCTGCCATAAAATCCCTCTATATTTCAACAAAAGAATTTTGAAGGGCACGGGGGTGACTATTACAAAAATTTTACCAGGAATGCAAGGGAAAGGTGGTGGCATACTAAGGATAATGCTAAAAATTCAGCAAAAGGGGAATGGTTAGCCAACCCCTTCACCACCCCTACATCTGTATGTCCCTAAGACTAGTCAGGTTTCAGGACAAAGCACTGATTCATTATACAATGCGTACGTACCTTCGATATCGTGGAATATCACGAGATGGGGTTGACAGTAAGCGTTTATCCGTTTCCTCTTCATCACTACCCCTCCTCACAGTCTGTCCACCACCCGTGGGTCCCCTCCCTAGAGACCTACTTTTCCTGCTCCCATCCTCGTGCATCGAGTTAACACTAATCCTTCGTGAGCCTGAGTGGAATGGTGTCCTAGGGATATCCCCGATATCTAGCCGGCTTCGTCCACCCAAAGGATGTGCTCCAGCAACTGTTATTCGCCTGGTTCGCTTTTCTGGGTCCGGAGGAGGTATGATATCCCGAACATGATCGCTTGCAGGAGGCAACGAATGGGTCATAAACTTCCCCTTGAAAGTCTCTCTGTAAGCAGTTTCATTCTCAGATAAGGACCTCCTTCTGCCTTCCTTCAGATACTTTAAATTCGAAGTCACATTTCCAGAGGAATTTCCTTTTGAAATCATTTGGGCAGAACTCCATTCTTCTCTAGAAAGGATTGTTGCTATTCCTTTGTATGTCGACGGTATGTTGGTCATTTTCTTATCGACATCTATATAACTTGAATCCAGTTGGTTATCTAAAGACAAGCTGCTTGGTTTTACTTGGCTGGTCTCGCTAGAACCCTGATCGCGTGCAGAAGGTATTTGATCGCCAATTTGAATACCATCATTATCACAATGGATAGAAACACCAACTGTTTTGTGTTCACTCTTGTTTGTTTGCACTTCTTCACAATTACTCTTAACACCAGTTTCTTGCTCTCCATTATTCTCCCGCTGTGTTTCATTTCCACTTTCTTCGACACCCAACGGCTTTGGCTTTGATAAGGTGGCAGACAATTCCCGTTCTTTCTCACCAAATACATCGCCATCTTTTACTAATATTTTCCCGCTTATTATCGGAGGAACACTCATTTTCCTTCTGCGCTTCGTCGAGGTCCCGTGAGTAACCCCTGGAAATTCTTGGATAGTTTTCTTAACCTCTGTACTACTTTTTGGGATGATTTCAGAACGATGAAGTAGTTGCGGATCTCGTGGTGCTGTAGCATCAGTAACTCGACGAACTCTTTTCGTTTGTGTTGTTTCTTGTTCTTCTATTGGCGAAGGCACGTAGTGACCGACTGACTTCGACACTTTCAAATCCCGTTGAAGGCCGTAAAGTATCTGCCTCAATTCGCGCGTCTCGTTGTTAATCTTCTTGTTCGAGATCTTGATTGAAGAGTCAATGGCGTTTAACTTTTGCTTAAGTTCATTCTCTGGCTGCGTGAGATGTGAACGTGAAGTGACAAACCCCGATGAGCTGTCAATGCTTCTTGAAACTTTACGATGTTGCCCACTCATATTGGATAGCAGACAATCTATGATTTCATCAGTCTTCTAATATCAAAACCAACCTAAATCACCCTTGACACAACTTGACTTCTGGCGACTCGTCCGCGCGTACGTAATTATCGAGTCTGTTCTGTAGAAATTTGATCGGCCGTGCAAAATGTCGTCCTAATAAAAGCTAAGTGGAGAAACAACAAACTTCCATTGTAACTAAACCAACCACCCACAATGGACGGAGACGAGTTGCCAATCCCGCCTTAAACAATAAACTTTACCTTGAAGAATATCCCTAACTTATCTTCTACTTATCGTAGAAGAATAGAAAAGTTTAGGGGCCACCTTGTTTTTTGTTGCCTATCTAGTCATATATATAGTCCTGGACAATGGAACCGCCTTGGAGATAAAGTAATTTATAAATTTTCGCCGTGATTATCTCGATGAGGTCATATTGACTTAAACACAAAACCAGGGTATTAGCGTGTTGACAAAATCAAACGTACTGGGGATTTGTTTTTTCAAAAATTACCCTAAAAAAATACTTAGAGATAAATTTTCTTTATTTCTAAGAAAAAAGTAAAGGTCTAGTGAAATGGTTGAATTCCTTTTTTTCCAAGTGGAGTTAACTTTAATATTGCTATGTACAAAAAGTTTATTTGGGTTTTAGGAAGATTAGATGCCATAATCGCTTTTTATGAATGGAAGGACTGAGCAAGGAGGTGACGTCTAGTTATTAATCATCTTGTCAATCAAATACTGATTTGCAGATGCTGTATTTGTAGATACCAGGTCTCTAAACTATACGCACTGACGGGGATGGCAGGGTGATTTGCAGGGAAGCCTCAGGACACTAAGATAACAAGTTAGCCTCAATAGTTAAAGATACAAGAAGGGAAGGTGAAAAAAAAGGCGGAAAAGATGCAAATGACAAAAGCAAATGGAAAAGCAAATGGAGAAATGGAATGAAAACGAGAAATAATTATATGAAATGGGAAAAACAACAATAACATGGGACAACTTTGCAGTTTTTCCAAGAAATAAGCAATATCAGTGAGTCATGATCAGCTATCACGATCGGATTTTAGTATTTCAATGCATCTTCCCTGCCCAATTAATGACAGGATTGTGTAGAGGGTAATCGAATTGATAAGATAATTTACAAGACTGCTTGATCAACTGTACCCTGGGTGCCAGAGGCCGTGCGGGGCTTGGGGGCGAGAGAGAGACATATAACTGTATAACTGAACCGAATACTCGGAGACCACTCCATCAGACGTCAGACGTTTATTTCACACCTCAACAATGATATCGTTTCCATTAATTCTTATTTATCAAATATGTACAATATATTACTCATATACTAATGAGTTGTTTAATTCCAGCAATATACACTGCTCATAATTTATCTAGCATGCAGAATGACACTTAAAAAGGGGTGTGAAGGATGGTAAGGTCCTCCCCCCTAAATGTATCACTACACAAGCTGTATCCTGTGCATAATCAATAGGTCGTTTGCATGATGGAGTTATTTGAGTCCACTACCAGACTCCCTTGCACGCTTTCTTTTGTTCAGTTAATTAGCACCAATTGTCTTACTATTCTCAAGAGGGAATACAAATTTAAATAAGAAAATTCGCGAAGCATCTTGGTAGTGGAAGTCAAATGACGCTATCATGCAAACGGCCTATGGCACATATATTTATAGTATGTTTGCTGGGAGTCATCACAAAACAAGTTCACCTTGTTCCCGTGCATATACGCATCAAAAAGTTCCAAAAGTTAATAGTCCCTTTTCTCATTCCGTAAATACCGCTGTGTTTTAAGACTGAAGACTCATCTCCGCAGGCTTAGCCTCGCTTAAGAGTAAATCATTTGCAAATGTCAACTTTAATGTAAAGAATGTGCAGCTTGAACAATACCAATGTTTTGAAATCCCACGGACTTTTAATGGTATCTGTGAATAGCTGACTTATAAACGAGGCTAAACCTATTCAAATGTAGTCTTCAAAAACAGAGGTATGCATTGAATGTGAAACTGGTGTATTTCTTTTAGGTCTATTTGATAAAAGTCATGCACTTCTGCTCTCGTGAAACATTCCCCAGTTGAATGCAATCAAAAAAGAGATGAAAAATAAATATTTCATGATGACCCCAAACCAGCACAACGAACCTCGACAAGTGAATATCAGGGCCCGGCTGTACGAAGGGCGGATTGTGCTACTTGACGGATAAATCTTATCCAGTGGATAAATTTATTTGATATATTTATTGACAGCATCGACCTATCCAAAGACCAGGATTTATCCGTCGGATGGCGCTATCCATCCATCCTTCGTACAACCGGGCACAGTTCTTATACCAACGCGAATAGGTTCTTTCAGATCAACAGACCTGATAATTCATATGTACAACAAAATGTCTTGTAATTCTAATTCGAGCTAACTGATTAACGTTAATGGACTGGTAGTTTTTCCCCGTCCGATAACTTATTATGCCTTGATTTTATCTATTTACTTGACTGCTTAATAGGCTTAGACTAAAGCAATTAGACCTCTTTTGGGGGTTCGGGTCTTATTTTTAAATATCATCTAGAATGAAGCTCAAATGACTGTGTGTATTCTACCCACACAGGGTACCCAGCGACTTGTGGGCCAGCTGGACCAAAGGTAGGTGGGTATAGAAAAATGAAAGAGAGGGAGTCATTAGACACCCAGGGGTCGGTCTCCTAGTAGGCTCCTTTGGTTCGTCACGCAACATAGGGAGAGAAGCGTTGCGTGACGACACAAAGAAAGTCTTAGTCCACCAGGTTTCTAACAGTAAATCATATGACTGAACTAATACATCATGATCGTATATCAGCATGTGTGTATAACAACTATAGAGTACATTTCTTAATGTAATTGAAAGCGGGTTGAGTCCAGATTTGGAATGTTTTATGTAACGAGTTCATTCATTCATTCGATACACAAGAAACTCCACGCCTGAAACTGGCCCCGATTCTCAAAAGTTAGATAGGGACTGGGCCTATATCCTTCCCAGTCTCAAAGAGCACTAGCTCTCCATGGATCACGTGTTTAGATAGAAACTGACGTACTACTGTAGATCGATTAGAGAGAACCTAAAGTTCGAAGAGAAAATATCAGATCTCTCTAAATGTGAACCTAACTAGCGTTTTATCAATCTTTTTTAAACAAAATACAAAAATAATTTACAACACTTTATACAACTTATTTTTATCACCTCTCTTAAAGTTTTGTCAAAAAAATATAGGAAACTATTTTGAATTAGAAAAAAAAAAAAATTAAAGTAGTCACAAAATTTGCCACTCTACAGTCACTAATTTCAAAACATTAAAAAACAACCTACAATTTCACTCTATTTCTTATGGACTTTCTCCTACTTTACCCTTCTCTCTATCGTAATTAAACTCACAATAAATCACACACGCCACATCAAAGCTCACAAAACCACAAATCAGAGAGCATGTCCCAAGGAACTAAATCTCTTTACCTGGGACGTAATGTTTTTCCCATTTTGGACTTTTTGTCATTCTTTGGAGAATAGGATTCTTTGAGTTGTGTTTATTTTCATGCGTCTTCTCGTGTGCAACCGTTAGTCACAGAAATGATACGCTATGGAATGCAACGTTGTCTGAAATATGAAAACATTACACCCAAGGTAAAGAGGCCTATTCCCTCACATTTTTAAGTTAACCTAAAAATACAAGAACTCGAGCCAAAACTAGCCTCATCGCACGTTCAGCAAATCACACTAGTTATCACACTAGTTCATTTATCCGGGGGAAAACTTGGCCACACTAAAACACGAAATACTGAACTAAGACAACAAACTACACACCTATTAAATGAACTGAAAGCTAAGAAACTCGTACCAGACACTCCACATCAATTAAATATATATAAAAAACTAACTCACTGAGCACTAGCTAAATAAATTTATCCACACACTCGGCAATTGTCAAACAATTCTAACAAAAATAAACTCTCCAGTTTGACGTTTCTGTATGATATGGAAGACGTGTATCGTTCAACAAGAGTACCTTACATAGTATACCGAAGAACAAATGTCGATTGGGCCCAAACGATAGGACTTTCGCATTCTACTTTGCAATACAAAAGGATTATCCATTTGCTTGCACTGATAGAACGTCATCTACGATCTTCGGTGGAATTTTTACCACATGAAATATCCTTTAGTCGTAGTGAAACCTCGCCCTGTAGAAAACTACATAAATGGAGGAAAGTGTTTTACCCTTTGGAAGGCTGATTGATAACATCCGGTATTATATATACTATAACAGGCGGACAGACCTTATGGTATATTGACCATAACCAATGGTTAATGGAATGCAAGACCAAAGATGGGACTGATAAGATAATTAAGACAGTACATTATACATACAATCGTCTATATGCTATATACATGTAATACTACTTCATAGAAGCAAGCACTTGTTTAGGTACTAACCACAGGGCCAATATATAGCTACACCTAGTTATTGTAGAGGTACACACGGGGTGGACGTCAAAAGTGCCTGTCCCTTGAATACAGAATACCTCCCCGTATCTTGGGCGACGGAGATTCTCAAATGGTCTCATTTAATACCACTGCAAAATCCACTTTAGCAGTGCCAAATTAAGAAAGTAAAGATGGTACTAGTTGGCAATTGCTAGAAATGCAGCGGCATTTGAATCAAAGGGGTAAACTCCTGTCGGGTTTGGAACTTGCGCCATCACTAAAACAAGCTAAGTACATTATAAATTAATCCAACTTCTTACGTAACTACTAGATAGTATTTCCAACACATTACTTTATATATCTATGTCACTTATCGGTCTCAGACGATGGACTCTCTGTGCTTGAACCATCAGATGAACTAGACGAGGAGTTGCGATTCTCGGGCTTCGTTTCTGATTTTTTCATCGACTGGATCAGCTCCGGTGACAGCGCACGCCGAAGAAGAGGTGATCCAGGACGTTGAGATTGAGTGATTGCAGTGAACTGAGGTGAGTTGGACGTCCCCCTGATTGTAAGTGGAGATGTGCTTCGTGGAGGGTGTGATGATGTAGGGGACGGGGTTCTTGCCAGGGGGGACACAGGCACATGTGTTGATGATTTTCTTCTTGGTGAGTGGTTTGTTCGTAATTTAGGCATTAATCCATGTAATGATGCTGTAACATATAAGCAAGAGGAACAAAGGTTTCAAAAGTTGTAATCATTCTACTTCATGGGAATTACTGCTATTTTCATGAACATGCGAACTCGGTAGCTGCAAGCTGAACGCTGAAATTTGTTTTTTTCGCTGCCGTCAATCAAAACTAATCAGTCGGTACCTTTTATATTATGACTGGCGACACTGAAAAAAAAATCACAACTACAGAGTTTGCATGTTAATGAAAATAGCAGTCATATTGACAAGTCGATGCGATCTTGTTCCCAGAGCCGTTATTTCTTACTGAATATACTCGACTCGAGCAGAAATGACTTCGTCGAGTAGAAACAAACTATTTTTTTGACCATAAATAAATTATTTCGTCGAAAGATTCATGTCGATGCGCTTTCGATGGGCATGCTCAATACGTCAACACTTGTGCCGTCATAACATGTAAGGTGACACGAGTGAAAAACGTCTGCGCATTCTCTGAATCCGAATGCAAATTACTCAAAACATATGTAAATTTGACTTTCAAACATGTCTGATAAATAGCGCAGCGCACTGATTCTAAAAATAGCTTAAAGATTCGGACAAACAACATTGCATTCTGTTTAACCGCTACGAGGATTATACGAACCGATTTTATTATTTTTATTTAAAGTTACAATAATAACCCATGTAAACTAAGATCAACTGCTATCGGCTGTGAAAATTCTCTGCTGAAAGTAAACTTGTAAGTTTGTTTGTCCGAATTTCGGCTTTGTCTTCGTTTTTATGACATCACGGCTGCGCTGCGCTATTGGACTTCACGAAATGCCAAAACTTAGTGTCCATGCTTGAAACTTAAGGGTAATTCTTTCATATTGTGTTTGTTAATACGGTATCTTGGTCTGACAAAAGTACACTCGCGAAAATTTTGCATACTTGGAGAAAACAGATATTTATTTTCTCACTCGAACTCTTCAAAATTCTTAGAAAACGTGCTGAAATGCACGCATGCGCAAACGTTTTTCTCTAGTGTCAAGTACGGTAAATAAAATCACAAACCAACCTGGCCTTCCTAAGGACAGCGCCTTCGGGGAACTTGGCGACGAAGGATCACTACTCAACGAAGACGACGATGAATTGTCCGATACGGCCCGAAAGTCAAACGAAGGGGAAACGAATTTTGGCGAACTGGGTCGTCCAGATTTCGCTTCCATGGAAGTCATTCTCTTTAAGGAGCTACTTCGCCGGAGCCCTGAGCCCGGCGAGTGGCTACTACGCCGTCCAAACCTCTTCCAGAATGGCCGGTGCTTCGGTGTTTTGTCCATCGAATCAGGTGTTGATGGGGGGTTTGTAGGAGAAACGGAGTTCTTTCTTGCTTTTCGAGTAGGTCTTTTCCTTACTCGTTTGATCGCTGATGGAATTCGTTTTCTTCCACCGGTTTTGATGGTTGTTTTTGACAATTCGGTTGAGTTTAGCTTTACTTTGTTACCACCTCCTAGGATTAGCTCGACCACTTGTCGATGTGTCAGTCCTGTAACGGGCTGAAAATACACAACGTTACTGGTATCTTGAGTTCTGATCAAGAGTCTTCTTGACATGGAGCATGCCGTAGGTGATAGTGGGGGTAGGGGTAAGGATGAGGGGTAGTCTTGTTATGGGATGAACATTTAGCAAAGGCCTTTTCTGAGTTCGATAAACAGGATGCATTGTGGTCTAGATTCGGTACAAACAACACCATATAAGGCATGATGTTTGTACCGAAGTTAGACCACAATGCACCATGTTCGCTGTCTCAGAAAAGGTCTCATGAGGTCGAGTGGACCAAACGTTTTAGTCAAAACAAGTCAAGTTTCAGTCAAACAAGTTTCTATCCTAGTAGGATATAACTTATAGACTAGTAGTAGTTCATCCAATCAGAACGCAGCATTGATGACAGACCACTATTTGAATTTTACTTAACAAATATAGACTAACACAGGATATAGAGGAACAGGATATAGACTAACAAAGGATATAGAGGAACAGGATATAGACCAACACAGGATATAGAGAACAGGATATAGACCAACACAGAACAAGGGGTGAGGGATAGCATCTTTATATCCAATGGGACAGCCTGTCTAACACTAGAGTCACCAGACTCTTACATACCCCAACTCTTGTGAACAGTCTTATAGATCCACGATGGACTGGGATAAGGGCGAGGTTAATGATAGTTTAAGGATTGATTGTATAAATACCTCATCATTGACGTGTGTCACGAGATCACCTGGTCGTAACCCAGACTCGAACGCCGCGCTGCCATGATCCACTCCCTGCAATCACAGCAAACCAATGGGTTCATTTCCAAACCAATAACCTTTATCTCATTTATCGCATTAGCGAGACATTTTCAAATTTTTGTTTTATCAGACGGAGTGAAGGGTTCATAAACAAATTTCTCATATCAATACCAACAAAACTGTGAATTTTAGACGGTCCATAATTCGAAGATGTGAATTTTATGCCAGCAAGTGTTGCCATTGTTGCCTGGTCACGTACATTTCCTTGTAAGATTCTATGATATCAATCACTTAAATATTCCATAGTTGAAGTGCAATCTCTATGAAACCTGGCAATCTTAATAATATCGACGTAAAAAACTGAATGTGAATTTTTCTAGTAAAACCAGTTTTTTAAAATGTCACGCTAGCCGGTGAAAAAGGTCTAGACCCCTTGCACTAAATCCTGAGAGAATTTTTTCTGGGGGACAAAACAATGGATGTGTTTTGCATAAGAAAATACGGCCTATTGTGTCAATTCAAGTCTCAAGTATCAATGCAAGGTCTATTATATAGAAAATAATTTTTTTAAATGTGGGTTAGGGGGAGTGAAGGAGGAAGAGAAAGAGGCGGAGTACTTACCGAGACAAGATGGTGTACTGTAAAATAATCGGTATCTCCATAGTACACTCGAATAGCTTGTAGCGTAAACCCATAACCACGTGGTCCTTTCTCTATCACGATTGGTGGACGCAGACACATAGAAAAGGTACTAGTACGTCGTTTTCTGGGGGAGGCAGGCGGGGTGCTGTCATGCCGAGGAGAACCGGGTGGACTTTCCAAGTTAATACGTTTAAGTTTGTAATTATCCTCACCTCCTAGTATATGAAAAAAAAATATGGAAAGTTAGACAGAGGATTAATGAGAAATTGAGTTGCAAGTTTACTTGTTGTCTGAGGCAAGTGGTATTGCCCAAGTAACTTGAGAACAATCTGTTATTGAGAGATTTGTATAGAGGCTTTGCACCATCACATGATGGCAGCCATGACAGTTGGCAGGAACAATTGAATCTTGTCCATCTTAGTTACATATTAAAGTATTCATTTAAGGAAACATTTAAGCTTCTTGTGTGCATAAGCTTACGCAACAACTTATCTGCACACAGCTTGTCGCTCTGCGTGCGAGATCCGCGCTATTTTTTCAATGTCTGACTCGTCCAATCAGCTCACCTGGCAATTGTAACTTTGGCACCGATGGCTTTGCTCGCATGGCATCCGGCGGAAGTGACTGAGTTCGATGCAGCGCTACACGGAGATCCAACGGTTTATGTTCCTTGGTAGGCATCTCAAGGCTTGGACGAACTTCACTGGGTCCATCCAGGGACATAGTTGTCAACAGTGGAGTGAATCTTGTAACTGAAGTCTTTTTACGCATCCTGACGGTGGGAGGTGTGGGGGGCGATTCTGGTGAGCTGGTCTTATGAGCTGGCGATGTTGGGGAGCTAAGAGAAATGAATCGTTTTTAAAAGTTAAGTACACTCATAGCTGGTTTAATAGTGATTTTGACTTAAGTACAAACTACCTAGACTTCCATAGTGTTGTTGTCTCGCAACCTAGTGAAACGTTGCGTGACGAACCTAAGGACGCCTGTGTAGGAGATAACAAACATTACGGCCTTTTATAATGAGTGTTGAATATTCTGTGATCTCGATTAAAGTGTTAACAGTCCCTCTTTGCTGCTTGACTCGTCACCACTCCCCGCACGGCAAAGTTAGGGGAAAAAGTCAACTCGACTGAGTTAGGAGGGAAAGGAGGGCGGTTAACAGTCAAGATCTCAATTCTTCGATCAACAAAAGATTTCTCATTAGCATCCATTGTTAACGGCACCAAAATGGCCGCCATGCTTTTGTCTTTTGACTCTCTTGTGAATGCTTGCAACCCATCAATAGGCTTTCATATTTATTCTGCATTGGTCTTTCCGAGGTCTCACGGAAAACTGGTAACGAGTAGGACGCGCGCTGAATCTTGGGGATGTTTTAGGAGACACCGTTTCTCAATATGGCGGAGAGCTTAGCAAACTCTTTCGGAACAGACCGAAAACCAAAGTGAATGTGACGCGAAAACAAAAACCTGTAAAACGAAAAAGTTAAATGGTGTCCCTTAAGACAGCCCGCGTCCAACTGACGTTACCAGTTCTTGCGCAACCTCGGAAAGACCAAAAGGTAACCAATAAATTAATACTTACTCGAATATAAGAGGAGAGATAGCATGTCTACTTGGCTCCATATCGTACCCGCTATCGCTACGAGGACGTATTCTCGGGGACCCCGGTTCCTCATCATGCCGTGCTAGCACATCGTGTTCTTCGTGTCCTCGTCGTCGAATCATCGGTGGAGAGCTATCAGAGCGCTTCCTTTGCAAGATGGGAGATGATCTTTTGTCATGGTTGGACTTGGGGCTTGTGGATTCTGGAGGTGATGGTATGGGCGAGGAAATGATTCGTGAATATCGCGGGGAGCAGGTGGAAAAGTTGTAAAAATCTGGAATGTCATCGTAATCATCGTCATCATTGTCCGTCTCAAAACTATGGTTGTAACGGTCAGATCTCGCTGCAAGATAAAAGATATGGATTTTTTAACCTAAGATGTCTAAGTTTGCTTTTGTATTCAAGCAGCAAGTGGGACAACCTCAAAGCAATCCTTGCAATCCATCAATACTTACTATCGAAGTAACTTGTGTCGTCTTCACCATCCAACTGAGGAATGAATTCTGCCTTTTGTCTCAACAAAGCAAACCAGTTAACGCCATCAAAGAAAGGATGTTCCTTCACGTCAATGGCACCTACAATTAATAACCTTTTTGTGAGGAATACGCTGTTTAATGATGGCCAAACTATAATAAATTATGGTAATAGCAATGAACTGGCAAATGACAGTAAAGTGCTGTAAGAGTGCAAAGTATGTCAAAATAGAGTGGTTTTTGTACGAGTGGGAAACACTAGCATGACTGTGAAAAGCTCGGTGTCGTACGGGTACCTTGCCGCAACCGTGATGTTTTCTAGAATTTTGATTTGCTGGTTTGTTTCTTAGGAGATGTAATTGGTCTGTCAGTTTCGTGACCTTGGCGTGACCTTGGCGTGACCGTCTCCGCGCCGTGTTCATGACATGTTTCAGGTATTTGATTGGATGGAGAGTAACTTCTGGCGCAATGTGATTGGTCGGCGTGTCTTGCCGTGTCTCGTCCTCGTTCGTGCGGGTGAGCTTTTCACAGTGATACGAAAACTGCTCTACGTTCAATACCTACCAACACTACCCAGCCTGTTAGCTGGATCTTGTTCTAACAGTCGCTTAATCATGTCCTGCGCTTCTTCTTCGGGTGCTTCTTCACCTTCAGGCCATTCTATATCACCTATAATTACAACAACAACCATCAGTCAATATTACTACTCACTTCTATATTTGCCCTTGGACTAGACAATAATTACTTAGTTACCTTTTGTGTATGAGAATATATATGAAATATATATTTGTACTGCGGTTGTAATGTACCAAATTGAGCAGATCCTCGCAGTATATGAAGCAATTTATGCAGCTGCAGCTTGAAAGACTCAGAAAAAGTTTTGAGTCTAGTTACCTTGGTTACAATTTTTCACATAGTTAGCCAGAAAACATTGTACAGGACTGTTCTTTTGATAAGGTCAACGTACGGTATATGGCACCGCATAATATACAACACCGTACTGTATACGGCACCGCACGGTATACGTCACATCACGGCACATCCGTACATAATGTTTTGACAATAAGACGTAATTTTCTCTGGAAATCAGAAAAGGCAACCTCCATACTAACCACTTAGTGTATGTGCAAACAGCTCTTCAGGTGTGTCACCGTAGAATGGAGGAACACCAACCAAGAACTCATAGAGAATGATCCCCATTGACCACCAATCTACCGCACGGCCATAACCTTGGGTTAGGATCACCTCGGGTGCAAGGTAGTCTGGTGTACCAAACACCTGTTGGTCTGTGAACTGCTGATTGTCTCGGTCCATGGAATGTTCGTACATGCGGGTCGTGCCTAGGGAAAGAAGAAAAGTGTCGATACAGGAGCTAAAAGGATGAAGACAAAATGAAAAAGAGTGCATCGGAGGTGTGCGAAAAAAATACCAAAAAAACAAAACAAAACAAAACTAATTATAGAAGGAAAAAAAACAAAAAAACAAAAAAACAAAAAAACAAGAAAACAAACAAACAAACAAAAAACCAACAACACACAAACAAAACAGGACTGTTAAGCATGGAGTGATGTGCTTGGTCTGGGGATGTAATCGATAAGTTTCACCACTTTGTTTTTAACATTTTAGACCTAAACCTGCCTTCTCATACGCAACAATTAAACAAATGAATAAGTCTTGAGAATGACAAGTGGTAATGGAAAACACAGCACACGAAATTAACGCTCGCAAACTGGCAAAATGCAAGTGAAATTTTGTATTTAGCGAGTGACAAAAAATTTAACTAGCTAAGTTTTGCGAGTATGACCACAGTCTTGAAATTGAAGGACTGAAAAGTTTAGAACCTGCATCAAGTAACGTTTGTTATTTAGTCAGTAGTAAGGCGGGGATAGAGTTAATAAACGTGATTGTAGTATTACTTACTGTTCATGAGTCCAATCTTTGAAAGTCCAAAGTCTGTTAGCTTGATGTGCCCCAAGGAAGTAATAAGCAAACTGGATGGAAAATGACAGAATAAATCATCTATTTTAGAACTGAAACATTGTCGGACAGAGATCTGATTGGAGATCATGGGCGATCTGAGACTATAAGGAATTTTTGAGCTTTCAGTTTCCTGGCTTAAATCTTAAAAATCTCATTTCTAACTCAAAGGGCATGCTTCATATTCCAATCTAAAAGGAAACTACGTTGTTCGGCTGTGAATACATTAAATTTTCAGCGTTCTACTCGGTCTTGGATTTCAGATTTCACTGAGATCTCTATATAAAGGTTCAAACGCTAGGGCGAGGTTTTGCATTAGAATTCAAGACCTGGGGCGCGGCCCGAGGTCTTGAATTCTAATGCAAAACCTCGCCCTAGCGTTTGAACTGGTTTAAAATATCAACTAAGCCCTAAATTCCATTGTTTAGATGCAAAACACGAAATACTAAATTATAATGAATTCAGAGAGGTAGATTACTGTTGCTTTGTTCTTTTGGAAATAGAGTGCTTACAATACATCCGTGTAATTAAAAACCTATCCCGGGTTTATGATTCAGCCCCGTTCTCCCCTGTTGATATCAATTCCGCCCCCGGCTTTAAGAATCTGGGTTTTCCGAAGAATTTAAGAGCCTATTTCAAACAATGGATTTAGGGTGTGGTTGATTTTTTATATACTAGAGGGCTTACTTGTCTGGTTTGATGTCCCGATGAACTATGCCATAGCTATGAAGGTATTCTACTGCAAGGACTGTCTCAGCGAAGTACATGCTATGGAAAAAAAATTACACATTTAGCTAATCATCTAGTTTAAAGTGCATGAAAATAATTCAAAATATGCTTCTGAGACCCAGACAGTTCCAGGAACGGGCACGCATTTACGTGCTATGACTGTCGATAAAATTACAGCAGTCCTAGTTGGCAATGTGAATAATGGAAGTCAAAAAGCAACCTGATCTGGAAGTTTTCTTTGACGCTGAAGCATAAAAGTACTTAGTTTACAGCATAACAATTGTAATTACCGTGCTAAATCTACAGGAAGAGCTCCAATGTTCTTGAGAAGAGAAGCACAGTCTCCGCCTTCTACATACTCCATCACCATACACAGGTGTTTCTATATGACACATGAATACTGAGTAAATAACTACATACTCCATCACCATACACAGGTGTTTCTA